GAGTGCTTTAATCATGAAAGGGTGTTGGATTTTATCAAAGGCTTTTTCTGCATCAATTGATAGGACCATATGGTTCTTGTTCTTTGCCTTCTTGATGTTTCAGGAAAATTCTGACTCCTCTGTTAAGTGAGGATTATTAGGATAACCATATATTTTATCATGTAACAAGGATATTTTTTCTGAGCAATTTTTTATTACTTTTTAAATTAAATTTTATTAAGTTTAATGAACATTTACAGAGATAAAGTAAAATTGGTTGCTACTCCAAAATACTAAAGAGTAATAGAGTCAGTTTGAAGACATTATTCAGGCCATGGTATTTTCAATTACTTGCAATGCTTCTGAGAAGTGCACAATGAATAAGGATGACAGAAGAAGACTTGATGTCTTTGAGAGATTCTGGAGAAGAGTACTGAATCTGCCATGGACTGACAAAAGAACAAGTGTAAACAAAGTGCTCATTGGAAGTAAGGATGGTAAAACTTTGTCTCTCATACTTTGGACATGTTGTTAGGAGAGGTTATTCCTTTGAAAGGGATATCATGCTTGGAAATGTGTAGGGTTACCCAAAGGGAAGGCCTCAATGAGGTGAATTGACATATTAACTTCAGCAATGAGCTCAAGTGTATCAGAAATAATGAGAACAGCACAGAATAGGACAGAATTCAAGTCTGTCCATAGGTAGGGTCACTATGAGATGTATTTGAGTCAATGGCACGTAACAAAAACAACAACAACAACAAATCATCTAGTGAGGGGAAAAAGTTGCACTAACAACCCAAAGGCAGACTGTTTGAATTTACCAGTTGTTTCACAGGAAAAAGTATTCTTATGCAGTATACAGACTATGAAAACTCCCTGGAGGATCAAGTGTGAGTTGGTTCCAACCTGATAACAGTAGGTTGAGGTTTTGAATTGATGAATTATTCTGGGACAATAACCTTAAATTAAGGATCATTTTCATAGGCAAAATATCTTATACTTCAAATATGCTTCACATGGTTGTTTACAGAAACACACACACACACACACACACACACGCACACAGATGAACAGAAAATGTCAAAGGT